TGACTGTCGCGTCCGTGGCCTCCCCCCTTTGCTGCGTTGTCTCCCCATTTGGGTTTAGGGGCCAACACCCCCGGGCCTCCCGGGAAGGGCCGGGGTCCTTCACCCCCCCCCTCCGGGAGCAGATGGGATAGACTCCTGCATAGTCAGGAGGGGGTTGAGAGCGCCCTCCTGACATGCAATTTGCAAAGTCTGGAAATATGAAATGGAGCTCGGGTTGCCAACTCTATCTTGAGAAATCTTTCTGGAGACCTGGGTGTAATTCCTGGAGAGGGACTTCTGTCTGGCAACCCAGGTGGACCCAAACTCCTGATGGGGGCTGGAGTCCTTCTGGAATTACAATTGATTTCCAGGCTGCAGAGATCAGTTCCCCTGGATAACGTGGCTGCTAGGAGAAACAGAAGAGCAAAGACCTGGTTGCCAGCTTCCAGGTGGTGGCTGGAGATGAGAACAGTCCTCGAGAGCCAGTTTGGTGTTGTGGTTAAGTGCGCGGACTCTAATCTGGGAGAACCGGGTTTGATTCCCCACTCCTCCACATGCACCTGCTGGATGACCTTGGGCAAGCCGTATTTCTGGCACAGCTTTTCTTGAAAAACAGCAGTTTCTGTCAGAGCTCTCTCAGCCCCACCTACCTCACGGGGTGTCTGTGGTGGGGAGGGAAAGGGAAAGGAGTTTGTAAGCCGCTCTGAGACACCTTTGGGTAGTGAAGGGCAGAGTATAAATCCAATCTCCTCCTCCTCCTCCTCCTCCTCCTCCTCCTCTTCTTCTTCTTCTTCTTCATCTCCAGGTGAAGAAGGGTGGGCACAGCAGAGGGCTTCCTACCCGCTACTGAACCCAAGTTTCCCGATGTTCTTGCAACTCTCAGACTCTGCTGTTTATTCTATGTGGCTCTTATGTTAAGCAAGTTGGGCCACCCCTGATCTCTGCAGTCTCTTTTTCCACTGTACAGCAGGCGTCGGGCTGGCAACTAGCTAACCTTGCCGAGAGGAGGCTGTGCCGGCTCATCCCATCTCATCCCCTTGTGCAAACATCACCTTCAGCCCTGGCAAAAACAGCCGTGCGTAATTTGTCCGTGGATCATTAAGATAATTGATATTTATTAGTCCCCTTTGTAATTTTCTGCTTTTTATTTTTGGATGTTGGGGGATAAATCACGCCCACAACGGGAGCCCGTGGATCGCGTCTGAGGTCTATTATGTTGTCTTGATAAGGATAGCTGCTGTTGTTCACCTTCCCAATGTGATTCATTGAGATTGATTGAAGCACCGGCCTTGTCCTAGCTGAGACACGGTGTAATTAATACAGCCTTATGTTAATGTATGCAAATTTGGGAGTATGCATTTGATTGGGAGGAGAGGGAGAGCAGAAAAAGGATTAGAGAGTTTGTTCTAAAGTACAAATTAATTTATGGCTTCACTTCATGGCCAGCAAGGAGGGAGGGAAAACATGAGGACATAAAGTAACATAAGAGAAGCCATGGCCATGTTGGATCAGGCCAATGGTCCATCTACTCCAACACTCTGTGTCACACAGTGGCCAAAACCCAGGTGCCAGCAAGAGGTCCACTAGTGGGACCAGAACTCGGCCACATCACTTCCGGGTGACATGCTCGCGGCGTGCACACTTCGTGCACGCTCCCACACTCCCAGAGCAAGACGGGAGTCCCCTGCTGTGGCTTAAGGTAGGACTTGGCAACCCTATCTCCCTTCCACTCCCCACAAAGATACCCTGTGAGACAGGTGGGGTTGAGAGAGTTCTGAGAGAACTGCTCTTGAGAGAATAGCTCTGAGAAAACTCGTGACTGACCCAAGGTCACATCAGCAGCTACATGTGGAAGAGTGGGGGATCAAACCCAGTCCTCCCAGATTATAGACCACACTTAACCACTACACCAAACTGGGTCTCAGGAAGGAAAGAAGTGGAGCTGAGGGGGGAAAACAAGAAAGGGTTCTCAAATCTTTGTAGATGCCGAATTCTGATTTCATTCCATTTTGGATGTGGAGTCTAGTTTGGGATTCTGTTGCACCATTGGAGAGCTGAGCAACCGGTATGTTTAGCTGTAATAAAATGGGAAAGTCTGGGTTACTGGGAGGATCACTGCTTAGGGTTGTCAACTCTGGGGTGGGCAATTCCTGGATATTTGGGGGAGGAGCCTGGAGAGGGCAGGGTTTGTGGACGGGAGGGACCTCAGCAGGGTACATAAGGCCATAGAGTCCACATCAGGGCCGGCCCCGGGTTTTTTTGCACACTAGGCGAGGATACCTTTTGGCGGGGCCCCCCCCGTGCGCCCCCAATTTTCAAACATAAATGCATTTTAGGAAGAATGAACAACACAAAATCTGAAAGGTTGTGAGGTCGGTGGGGCTGAGAGAGCTCTTTCGAGGACTGCCCTTGAGAGAACAGCTCTGAGAGAACTTGTGACTGAGCCAAAGCCACACCAGCAGCTGCATTTGGAGGAGGAGTGGGGGAATCCAACCCGGCTCACCCAGATTAGAGTCTGCGCTCCCAACCACTAATTCCTGGAGGTGGGGAGGCCAGTGGCTCCTGCTCCTCGAAGAGGAGGATGGCTGCGCTTCTGAGCGCACTGAAAGACCCGGCAGCGTGCAGCAGTCACCCACCCAGTCAAG